CCTTTGGCGCTGTGACCGCTGAGATGCTGCTGAAACCGGTGACCCCGTGCACTGGGCGCGGAGCCCACCTGTCCCCCTCTGCCCGACCCCGCGCGTGCCTGGCTGCCAGGCCACTCCAGGACAGCACCAGCCCTGCCCCACCTGTCCCGCCTTCGCAGCCTCTGCCCAGGTGACAGCCCTGGTCCCCAAGCCTTCTGCAGGGCGCGGGGCTTCCTTGTGGTATAGTTTGTCTGGACCGCCGCTCGGGTCTGAAGCCCACCCGGGGTGCTGCAGAACCGAAGAGCCTGTGAGTCCCCAGGGCCCTGCCTGAGTGGGCTCCTGCCATGACGTGTAGCAATTTAAGGTTCCCAAGGGGTGGGTTGAGTCCCGTGAAGGGTCCCGGGTGGGCTTGACCCTCCTGGGGTAGGAGCTCCCCAACAGGGGGGCAAAGAACATATAATGTTTGGGGGACCCCCAGCCAGCCCATCCCGGAGAGGTCCCCGGGGCCCTCTAAGTACCACAGGGACCCGAACGTCCCTGTCCAAATGACATCTGACTTTGCTGGTTTTGTTTGTGACTTTGTGAGCCTCTGCCTCACCAAGGCCTGCTCGTACCACCCCGCCCAGGGTGGGTGACAGGGAGGGGCCTCGAGGTGGAGCCAGGGGACTGAGAGAGCTGGTTCTGTGTGCACCTGGGCTGAGGCCCCCCTGCACTGCCCTCCGTCCGGGGGCTGGGACTCGTCAGTGCCGCTTGCATGTGTCTTCCACCGCCTGTCTCCAGCTGTCCCCAGGGGCCCAGGCAGTGGGGTGTCACCCCCCGCAGTCCTGCCCGACCCAGACTGGCCAGGAGGGGCGGGGCACCACGGCCCTGGGCAGGTGACACCAGGCTGCTGGCTGGCAGCGCCCTCCCTTGGGCCTCAGTCTGGGCGGTAGAGAGGGGGCCTGCGGGGTCCCCAGGACCCACAGGCCCGTGTGCCTTCCTCGGGTGGCTCCCTGTGGCCACCCCTCCGCTGGTCGCTGGGCCTGGTCTGGAGTTGTATTTTGATGCCATGAAAACACTTTCTTTATATATATATATTGTTTATATTTTAAAGGTTTGTGCCAAGAGTATATTTAATAAAAACCTAGATGACTTCTTCTCCTGCTCCGGGTTCTCCTCCTTGGGCCCAGCCACAAACCCCCACCACGGCACACCCCACTGGCACAGTGGCCGCTCCTTTATTCGAAGAGCAGCGACGCTCAGGGCGGCGCACCCACTTGGGGACAAGGGCATCCGGGCCCATGCACCGCGCTGAGAAGTCCCGGCCCCTTCCTGCCGCTCGGCACACTGAAGCCGCAGCGGCAGCCTGTTGCGTTGGCCCGACCAGGCTTCAGGGACCCAGCAGTACCAGTGGCGCGGCTAGCAGGCTGCCAGGTGCTGGTGGAAGTAGAGGCCAAAGAGGCTGGAGGCGAGCTGGCAGGCGGCCGTCCACCAGATGAGGAAGGCCAGGACGCCGCGAAGCAGCAGGGGCGTCGCCAGGCTGCGCAGGGCAGCTGC